TATATTGACTTATGGTTCTATAATCTGTGCATTTTAGTCTGTGTGTGTGTGTATGAACATGAGAACATTTATGCACACACGTGATAATATCTACTTTTGATAAGCATTTAGGAATCTGACACTAAGATTATGAAGTCCACTACACAGTGCCTAGTCCTACACCAGGCTTAAGTGGACTTTACAATAATGGCATGTCATGCTTCTGGATGCAGAATGTGGGAAGAAGAGACTGAAGTACATGTGAATTTGAAAACTTTTTTTTCTTGTAGGAAAAATAATGGAAACGTAAGTATCTTTTCTATATCTAGAAGAATGTTTAATCACAAAAAGAAGGCTGAAGCCTTGCAAGTACAATAGAGTTTACAAACAGTCCAGAATGGGAAAAAGGGGATAGAAGACAGAAGTGGATCAAGCAGAATTAAGAAAGTACAACCTTTTAAAAATCTGAGGTCTTCCCAAGGGAAAGAAGAAAAAAGAGAAGATTTCAACAAGAGAGTGTTAAAGATGGAGAAGAGCCAGAAAGGGCTGTGAGCTTAAAAAAATAATAAAATCCAATGAAGAAGCAGTGGTGTATGTTGGCAAAGAGAAGTGTTGAGTTGAGGGGAGGGAGAATTTATAGTAGAGGAAGTTGGTGTGAAGTTTTCCTCTAAAGATGCCCAGCAGAGCAAAGAAGGAATGAAGGCAAAGGCCACTGGGAATAAGGTAGGGCTGGAGCTGAAACAGCACAGGAGAAAGCAACTGGGCCCAAAGTAGGAATTTTTTTTTTAATTAACTGACCCAGATTTTCTTGTTTGGGGCCAAAGGCAACTGCAGGGTTTAAGGATCTTTAAAATAAATTATAAAGATCCTAACCCTTATAATTGCCATTGGCCCAAGACAACATAAATTATAAAGATAATAATAGAATTAGAGTGAGTTTCTGAGACAAGTACCAAATACCATTTTAGAGCTGGTTTTAGAAGAGAAATTGGACTTACAAATTGCTATGCTATAGAAATACCGTTGTGAATAAAACAGCTTTAGCTTTCTCTCTTTATCAGCCACAGGGTAAATATATAAACTTTGCAGCTACATACAAATCCACAGAAGATAGTATGTAACCTAACATATATGGTAAAACTTAGTTGCTTGTCTTTGTATACTGTAGCCCAATGCCTCCATTCCAAGAAATATTTTACTTAGATCAAGAATACATAGGGCAGGTTAAAGAGCAGAACAGAAAAAAATTAAGGTTAAAAATAAAGACCATAATATGAAGGAGAGGAAAACTAGATGTACGATGCTACTAATACAGAAAACAGGGACATTAACAACAGAGTTCAGTCAAATCAATAAGGGAAAAACGGAGGCAAGACAAAGGAAAAGAATCAACGCTATGTAACTAATCTTGATAGCCTCACTTTGGATTTTAAGTCAAATACTGAATCAAATTTTTCAATTAAAAAAATTCAACAGAATTAAATTGATAAAGTGTAGTCATGCAACTTTATATGACTACAAAAAGTAGCAAGTGACTCTTTTTTTCCTTACAGAGACTGAATGGCAGGCAGCAGTGCAAGACACAGATAATCTTGCCTACTCACTCACTACTCTTCCTGCTCAGAGACCAAATCCAAATTCCTTACACCTGGCATTCAAAGCCTTTAATGACCTAGCCACAACTGTACCCCAATAACCCTAACTCCCCCTACTCCTTACGCCTACTCTTCACGGTCCCAGTGCACAGGCCTCTGGACCGATCTTATCTCTAGGGGTTGGCCATCTCCACCTTCCTACCGGACAGGAGTCTCCTGCCGCAGGCTCTGGTTGGCCAAGGCCTACACTGGCGAGGTACGGTCCTGCAGCCCGCCCCCCAGTCCTCATTGTGGTCTCCGCAGCCCTGCGACCCCCTCCCCTTTCTGAGCCTCCCGAACTCGGACTCTCCGTTTTGCCCCTTTCCCTCCCCACGCGAGGGCCTTCTCCCTGTTCCACGTAGTCCTCCCGGCGGCTCGCTCCTGCCTGCCTCCTTTCAGGAACAAGCTCTGCCTTCTGCCTCTATGAGGTCTTTCTCACCTGGGGCAAAACCAGGACCTGGACCACTCAGCACACCCCTCCCCCATCCCCAACTCTCCCAGGTGCTCCCACCACCCTCCCGGTGCTTCCCCGAGCCTGCCCGGCGCCCCTCTGGAGCTCCTGTTCCCCAAATCTCCCCGCCGCCGCAGCCAATCCCTCCTATCCGGCCAAGGCGGTGGGGGTCAGCGGTGACTCACCCGAGGGCTGGCCGGCGGCTGGGGGACCGGAATGCGCTCACTTCCTTAGCAGCACGCACCTGCCCGGCACCGCTGGAGCGCTGCCCAGCCGGGCCTCCGGCGGATGTTTTCTGTCCCCGCGCTGGCGGCGCCCGCCAAACGCCCCCGCGCCAACCGAGACGGCCCCCGCAACTGGCATCTCCAAGGCCGCAGGAATCACGGGGTTGAGCCCTAACCACTGACACCCCTACACACACACACTTGCTCATTCAGAAGCTGGGCCCGAGAAGCTACAGACGCGCGCGCGCATGCAAACCCCCCACTCCCCCAGGCATTCAAGTGGGTTCGACCAACACCTCCCCGCCGCTCCCCAATTTCTGGAAAAGGGATCTTGGCTCAGCCGCAACCTTTCTTCCCAGAAGCCCCCTACTCCTACCTCGTCTTCATTACAGACAGTTCTCACTTCTGTCCCCATTGCCTCACATCAGTCCCAATCCCCACTAGGCCCCCTTTGCCTTCTAGCACCACCACCACCTTCAGGCTTTCTAGCTCCCCCTCTAGTGTCCACCCCCTATTGGGTTGGCTCCAGGATGCAGGAACACGAGGTAGTCTATGGTCCAGACTTCAGGTGTCAGCTAGTGTACTTCCCACAGAAAGGCTGCGGCACAGCTACTGACCACTAACAGGGCTTTCGGGCCCATGTGGCAGGGCTTCTGACCCACCTGCTCCAGCCCAGAGAGCAGTTCAGGGCCATGCCTCCCCACATCAGCCTTCATCAGGGCACCCTGCTTCAACCCTGAGTTCTCTTCTGCCTCTTGGCACTCCTCTAAAGGGAAAGGGTATCAGACCTGACTAGGCTGAATGTGCGGTAGTCTGCATCTCCCTCCACTTATGCTGTCTCCTTGGAAGAGAACAGACGAAGTTTGAGGTGGGCTGAGGAATTGTTTCTGAAGGTGAAAGGGTGAGAGGCAGGGTAGCCCTCTACAAAAGTCAGCCAGAGGGGTTGTATCGGATCCACTGGATGACAGGGAGTGGGAGTCTTGGGAGTAAATGGAACTGGAGACTTAGAAGGAAAAATAAAATACATGCCAGAGTGATTGGCCCTGTAGGTAGGAGGAGAATACCTGGAACAGAGGTCTCTGGAGTGCAGAAAAATGAAAGAAATCTAGGTTAGCCAGGGGCCATTAGTATTGAAGAGACAGCCAGCATTCGACTGATCAGAAAGGAGAACTTGAGAGTTTGCATGAGTGAGAAAGAGAAGAAATGGGTAAAAATCCATGAGAAAAAGCAGGGGTCCTAAGTAAGCTGGGAGGGTAAGAAAATGCTCTCTCTTCCCAGGGTGGAAGAGAGGTACTGGCCTAGGAAAAAGTCTTATCAGCAACACTGTTTCTCAGACCAAACACTTAGGATTTCTAGACTACAAGGACCAAAATCAAAATACTCTGGAGCTAGTTTTTGAAGGAGGCGGTGGGATGATGTGGAGCATGTGTGAAAGGGACAGAGGTCTATGCCAGGAGATAGCTGGAGCTCAATGTCGTTAAAAGGAGTATGGACCCATTTTGTCTCCGAGCTCTAGCACCAACCTCAGTAGCTAATCTTTTCTGAGGGCTATGTGCTAGGGACAGACAACATGCGCTACTAAGCTTAATCCTCTTAACAACCCTATGAGTATTGCTATCCCAACTTATAGATAAGGAAACCAGTTTAGAGAGGTGAAGTAACTTGCCCAAAGTCACATAGCTCTTAAGTGGAGTCAGGATGTGAATCCAAGTAGTCTGACTCTGCAACCTCTGCTCTTAGTCACCCATCTTGGGGCTCTCCACAACCTGCAGGAAACCCAAAAGAGGACGTCAAAGGATAAATTCCTAAATCCTCATTCCACAGTGTACAAGAAAGAGGAGTACCTCTGGGAAACTGGAATGATTCATAACATTAGAGCACTTAAGAGATGTTCCTCTTTGAAAGAACCATCCCCATAGGGAGAGATCGTGTATCTGCTGTATGTTTGGGTGATGAACGATGGATAAGCCATCTCTGGATGCCTGTGGAAAAGAGACACCCCACCCCATCACCCCCATCTCTGAGGGCAGCCATGTCTCTAGGATACTTTAGGGAGACCCTGTCCTAGGGTCTGAGAGAAACATTCTCCACTCCAGGTGCCTGTTTGCTCTCCTGGAGCCTCTGGCCGTCGCACCCTACAGCAGCTCCTCGGTTTGGCTGGGGCACAGGATTAGCCATCCCCAGGAAATGCCTCCCTCCGGTCCAGGCAGGGATCCCAGCATATCCACCCCTGGAGAGAGTGTGTGTGGTATTGTGGGGTGGGGTGGGGTGGGAGATGGTGGAATGCTTCCTTCTCTCCAGGTCAGAGAAGAGATCTGGGGACCACTTGGGGGCCCTCACCCCTCCCACCTCCTTGCTGGGGGAGTGCCCAGTCCAGTGCCCCTTCCATGGCCACCTCCCTCCCCCTAGCTGTGCAGGGGCATGAATCAGCTCTCACAGCTTGTTAAAGCTGGACCTCTTGTTTTCATGCCCTCACCCCAGGAAACAGAGTTACAGCTTTTCCAGCTCTACTCAGCAGGGGGCCAGGGTCCTCACTTTATAAACATCTCCAAGCCTGTGAGAGCAGAGGGCACGGAGATGGTGTGAGACAGGAGCCCAAGGGAAAAGACAGAAACTAAGACTCAAGGAGAGAAACAAAGAAAAGCCAAGGAGACAAGACCTGAGTAGCCTGAACAGAAGACGAGAAGGGTCCAAAAGGGCTGTGCTACCGAAATGGCCCTAAGGATGCTCTGGGCTGGACAGGCTAAGGGGATCCTGGGAGGCTGGGGGATCATCTGCTTGGTGATATCTCTGCTCCTTCAGCACCCAGGAGTCCACAGCAAATGCTACTTTCAAGCTCAAGGTAAAGCTGGGCGAGGCATTAGGAAAGGGCGAGAAGCAGAGGGCATTCACTGGGAGGAGCAGGGCTTAGAGATGACCCTGTATCAGAATACCAGGACTCCCTCCAGCTCGGAAACAGGAGAGATTAAATATGGGCACAGTGTGCACTTAACTCTCTCCTACTCCAGGGTGATTCCATCTGCCGCCATGGCTCCCCTACACACTAACATTTCCTGTTCTTCCCTAGCCCCCTGCCACTATGAAGGGAAATATTTTACCCTGGGTGAGTCTTGGCTCCGCAAGGATTGTTTCCACTGCACCTGTCTGCATCCTGTCGGTGTGGGCTGCTGTGACACGTGAGTGACCAAAAATGGCCAGAGAGAATGGCTCTGATGTGAGTGACTGAGAGGTGGCCAGGGCATGACTAGATTCTGTCCTGTTAGAATGAATAGAATAGCAGTATGAGGCTGGCCGAACTTCAAGGTACCAACAAGAGTGTGAGAGAGAAGGCTTTAGGCTACAAAGTGAGGGAGGGAGGGGTGGATCTAGGAGGAAATATTCCTGCTATGAAATGAAAAACTCCATCTATGGTAGGTGAGAATTTAGTTAGGGGGACCAAAGGGGCACTAAGGGAAGATATGGGAGGAATGCTGGAAGAGAGGGAATATGGGGAGAGAATAATGGTGGCCCTCACTGTGCTGACTCCTTCCCCATCCTTTGGGTCCCCAGGTCCCAGCATCCCATCGACTTCCCTGCTGAGTGTGAGGTACGACAAGAGGCAGGAACCTGCCAATTTTCCCTGGTACAAAAATCTGACCCTCGGCTGCCCTGCAAAGGAGGAGGGCCTGACCCAGAGTGGGGCTCAGCTAACACCCCTGTTCCTGGGGCTCCTGCTCCCCACTCCAGCTAAACTCAATTGATCACCCTTCTGCTGACTGCCCACTGCTGCTGCCACTTCCAGGGAAACCACTAGCAGCTGCCAATTTATTCTGAATAAATAAATTAATGCTACAGCTGAAAGCCTGCTTCTTATTGTCCGTGCCATTGGGCCCCAGGTGGAAAAAATGGGCCCTACTAGAGTCCAGGTGCTGAACTCTCAGTATCCTGAAGAAAGTAGTGCTGCGGTGGGCCAGTTTCAGATGGTTATGGTGCTGGTGCTGGGGCCTGGGGCTGCATATGAGGCCAGGGTCGGGCTTGTAGGCAGCACCTTGATGGGGAGGTCCCAGCTGAAGGTGTCTACAGGCACTTGCTCAGGCCCTGTCCAGGTGACAGGCTCTGGCTGCTCCACAGGAGGTAGGAGCACCAAACCTGGTTCTCGGGATGTTACAAATTCAAAATGCAATCGCCATTTCAGGGACACTGTGGAAAAAAGACATAGGCAGAGGCGTTAGAATCCAGAAGTAAAAGCCAATGACGGGGTGAAGTTAGCAAATGAGCAAAAACCTATATTCGGGAAGAGAGGGAGAAGTCTCGGGACAGGGAGCTAGGATCAAGGGTTTCTCCGAAGAAACCTAGTGTGTTAACCATCAACATGACAATAAGAATAGCAGTGTCAAGAACCTAATAACCCAAGTGTGAGGCAGTCAAGACTTGGGAGCCTGAAGTACAGGTGCTGGGGAATCTGAGATCAGTGAGTCACAGGGTCCCAGTAAAAATGGGTAAAGAAGATCTGCAAAGCTGTTAAGAGTTTAGGGGTCAGTGCATCTAGGAAACAGGCTGAGGAGTTAATAAAGTATTAAGGATCAGAAGCTGGATGTGGGTATGTCTGTGAGTCTGTTAGGAATCAGGATCCATTACACTGTACCCAAGCACAATATTTTACTCTCTCTCCCCACCTCCGATAATGGTCAGGGTCTCACCAATGGCTGTGCAGAAGCCTGGGGTGGAGCTGAGAGGGATGGGGAGAGAGAAGCTGGTTCTGGTTGTATGTAGGCAGGACTCCTGGTGTCGGGCATGAGTCACATGGGACACAGAGGGCGTACCCCCTGCCCCACGGCGCCGCTGGTACTCAGGCTGTACACGCTCCTCGGTCTGCAAGCTTACTGAAAACTGGGAGCAAGAAAAATGTGTGCTAGCAGGCATTGGGAACTGCTGACTCTAGGTGACAGGGCAGCCCAACCTCAATCTGCTTTACCAAGACCCTGAGTGACCCCACCATCCACTTCTACATACTACCCCTCTTTATGCAGGCCCTTCTCCTACCCTAGCCCTTCAGGCCCAGCACCCCAAAAGCCCCTCTCCCTTCTCACCTGCAAACAAGCTACAGTTCCTTCCCCTAGGTTTAACGTCCCCACCACATCCTCGCCAAGTCTGTATACAGATTTGAAGATGCCAAATGTCCCAACTTTTCCTCGGCCATCACTGATATTGTATAGATCTGGGGAAAACGGGACAGTGTAAGCCTGGAGTCCACACTGGAGAATGTCTAGGGCTGGGAGCCAGAGGCCAAAAGGTAGGGCTTTTCTTTAGAATCTGGGGTGAGATGTCGGTGGACCCTCAGAAGCATATGGCAGTTAGGAGAACCTGCTCTGAGATGGGAACACCGAGAGGGGAGGATGGGACAGGGCAGTTTCAAAGGGCTCTCACGGAGGCTGCGGCAGGACGTGGCAGCCATGAGGCGCTCCCCAGCCAGCTCCGCCGGCCGTGAATCCTTCCTCCCACCTTCATCCTCCTCCAAGAACGGACTGGAGGGGGCCACAGCCTCATCCTGGGGGAACCGGACATCTTGAAGGCCTAGAGAGAGAACGAGCAGAGGAGCGCTGGGAGGGAACAGACGTAAGAGGAGAGGTTAGGCTCCTCAAACCTGAGGGGGCTGGAGGTAGGGGAGCCGTGGCTGAGGTGCACACTAAATCCCTTCTCCAGAACCCCCCTTCCACAACCCACACACGCCTTCACTAAGACCAGGAAGCTTCCCTCCCGCTCACAAGCTCTCTCAATATTATTTCTGCTTTGGTGAGGGTCTTCCCTAGCCCTTCCCTCCAGGAACCCTTACTTACCAGTTAGCACAAGAACCCTCAGAGGGACCCTGAGTAAAGTGATGGGTGAGTTGACACGCTGGCAGCCAATGGTCAGTTTGTAGACATACTTAACTGACTGACCTCGAAAGGAGGGTGGTCCCTCTACGGGCAGCACTTCACTGTAGGAGTCTGGTTGGGAAGTGGTAGTCAGGGCAGCCAGAGGCAGCCAGCCAGAAGTCCTCCCTCCAGGAATCTTGGGAGGAGTGGGAGACAGTCACTTACATGATTTGGACTCTCCAGGGTCTAGCCTCAGGTCACAGAATAGGATTTTTGGTGGAGTGGAAAGGATACACTGACCCCTCTCACCTAAAAGAGATAAAGACTACAGTTTAATTACTCTAGTGTCCAGTACTGGACGAGGCTAGCACAGCAAGTGGGGGTAGTAAGTACTGCTAACAAATGGCAGCCTACAGTAAGCTACCCCTCTTTTCTTGCTGTGAGATAGCAACAATCTTACACCCCCAAGTAACAATTACAATCCCCCCATATCCCCAAGTCACTGAGACTATAATGACCCACTGGACAACTTAAAAATTTCACCCTCTGGTGAAAATTACTCCATTCCCACCAAAGGCAAATGTCCCGTCTCTAACCTCGGTGTGGCAGAAAGACAGTCTGGCTCTCAGGCTGAACATCTGGCTGATTGGAGTCTGGGGGAGGCAGTGCTACTCGACTCTCACTGGCATGGAACTGACAGTGGATCTGGGCACTGGCCCAGGCCAGAGCCTCACTATGGGAGGAAGTAAAGGAGGCATCAGAGAGGGAGTTCCTGACCTCACCAATGCTCTCCCAAACTCCCTACCACACTGTCTAGAGACCAACATGGTTAGGTGGCTGTCTTAGGGATCAGGAAATCCAGAACCGCAAAAAGAAACCATTATTACCAGAGCAAAAGGGGGGTCAGGGGAAGGCAGAAGAGGGTAAAGAGGGGATAAATGGTGATGGAAGACTGTGGGTAGTGAACACACTACACAATATACAGATGATGTATTACAAAATTGTACACTTGAAACCTATATAATTTTATCAGCCAATGTCACCCCAATAAATTCAATGAAAAGAAACAGAAAAAGAGACTGCTAAACAAAGAGAAGTATACTGTGGCTAAAAGAGAATGGGGGGGAAGGGAGAAAAGGGGAGTGGAGGGTTATGTCTACCACATCTGTTCACCAGCCCTTTCCTGCAATGACAGCACAATGCGCAGGAAGGTGGTGGTGTAGCTACAGGACGACCTGAGATCTGGCTTAGTGCTATGGATACCAGGCCTCCTCCCAGAAAGACCACCGTCCTCCGAACCCCACCGTCCACCGTCCTGCATTCCCACCTGGATGCAGAAGTGGCCGTGGGGGGCAGGGGGTTGGTGACAGTCACCACACACTCCAGCGCCTCCCCCGCCAGAAACACAGGACCTCGGCTCAGCTCTGCTACCACTTCAATCATGGCAGCTCCGGAATGGGACCTAGAAGGAAACAAAGGGGGCCAGAAGTCAGTACCAGGGCAGGGAGGGGTGTCCGAGTGGAGCCTGGGGGTAGGGACCAGAGTGTCAGAGGGAAACGCCTGCACTGGGGGGCGGGGAG